AGTCACTTGGCATGTGGGATCCTAGTTCCCTGACCAGGGATTGAACTCACACCCCATGCATTGGAAGCAGAGTCTTCACCACAGGACAGCCAGGAAAGTCTGGCCCCTCATTTTAGAGTGTGGATCTGGGAAGGGAGACTAAGGCAGGGAACCCCCATCTCCCCAGCCAGTCACACCACTCACTCTTGCATCTCTTAACAAGTCTGGGGCCCTTGATCCACGTACTTTGCCTGGCTCTCACCCCTCTATTGACCTAGAAGTCGCTGATAGCCCCTTCTCACCCTGCCCCGACTCCTACAAGTTCTAGATCCTTTATTGTGTGTGCCCCAGAGCACCCCAGATCTCCAAACCAGCATGTCTGTAGCTGTCTAACCCTGGCTCCCAGCTCCCCAGTGTCTCTGTCCCACCCTAAGTTCACAGCTCCAGACCTGGCTGGCTTCGGTGTGGTCCTCCTATCCCATCCCCCGCACTGGCATCTGTGGCAGTCTGCAGCCAACTGGGTGAAAGTTTGAATCCCCCGCTTCACACCCGCCCTCGGGCTGGTTGCTGGCTTCCAGTCCTCTGGTCTTGAGGACTCTCCCACCTCTCGGTCCCAGCACCCCCCCACTGGGAAGGGGAAGGGTCCGCTACCCCTCCCAGATGGTAGCCCTGCCATGAGGGGCTTCTGGGAGGGGCCAGCAGGCAAAGGTCCCACCTCAGGAATGTGATGGGGGAGGGGGGGTCATGTGTAGGTTGGGGGACTCCAGGCTCAGCCCTGCCAAGCCGGAGAAAGGTCAGAGCTGGGGAGACAAACAGCTGGTGCTAATGGAAGCCACATTGGTGGTTTGGCCGGCTGCCTGTTGTGATTGGAAGAGAGGAAAGTAGGCGAAAGGGGAGCTGCCTGAGGGGCCGGAAAATGTCACCAGTCACTCTGGGCCCGCCCCAACCCCCACAGTCCCAACATGTTCACCCCACAACCTGAGCCTTCCCTTCCCCCTTCAACCTTTCCTCTACTTTTCCTGCTGGGGTGGGGGCCAGACACTTCCCCAGTCTGCAGACATGCCCAAGCCATCCCTCAGTCCCTCCCTCCTTCACTCTTCAGTCCTTCCTTCTCCCTCTCAGATGCCCGGGACCCAGGGTGGGGCCTCTGTGGTGCCCCCCAAACCCTATCCAGGCCTGATGCTCACCCGCAGCTGGACGAAGCAGAGCCCCTTCCTGTTTCTCTCTGTTCTGGCCCCACCCCCACTCTGGTCCAGCTCCTTCCATCATTCCTTGATGGCATCTTTATTAAACATCTGCTGTGGGCTGGCATCAGCCGGTGCCAGATGGTGGGCAGGGAGCCATTCCTCGTCCCTGACTTCAGGGACCTCATACAGTATGGGAAGTTGGGGAGAGATGACAGATGGCCCCAGTGTTGGGGAATAGGAAGTCCTCAGGGGCCCTTAGCCTGGTCTCCGGCTGTTGATGGCCAAAATCTTGGCCTTCTCTGCCCACTAAAGCCGAAGAAAAAAATACGGAGACAGAGTTTGGAGGAAATAGAAAGGTGGCTTTAATTCTCAGCCAAAGAAGAGGGAAACACAGTAGGCTCATGCCTCAAGAACTGTGCCCCACTCCACCCCCATGAGGAGTCTCGGGCCTTATATAAGGCAAAGGCTCATAGTCAGGAGTCGGTGACGAGGAACAAAGTTGATAGGATCTTGATTTCTTCCTCTTGCATTGTTTCTAAGACAGTCATAGACTGGTGTCAGTAACTCAGTAATTGAGTCTGGCCGTTCGGCGGCTCTGTGGTCTTCTTTCCAATGTGTAACCACAAGGGGAAGGGTGTTGTAAGGGTAAACCCCAGAAAGGCAGAAGAGCAAGCTTCGTTACAGACATGCAGAGTTAGGAGCAGTTAAAGTAAGAAAAAGGAAACAACTAGGAATGTTCAGGCCTGATGAGTGTTCTCTTTATCTTCTTTGTTCTCAAGAAAGGGAAAGAAAAAAAAACTCATTCCGCTTTTTCCCCTTTTTATTGCAACGGGATATGGGGGGAGAGGGGAGGGATGGGTGTCAGAGATGTCATCCCTTCCAGAAGCTGGGACCTTTAATATGAGGCAGAGACCTGCCTGAGGGAAGAGGCCCCAGGCAGAACACTAGCATGTTCAAAGGCCCTGTGGTCAGAGTGTGTGTGCTACCAGGAAGGCTGTGTGGCCAGAGGATGGGTGTTCAGGGTGGGAGGAGGGGGGAGTGGGTCTGGCTGGTCCTGGGGAGTCATGGACAACTTTAGGCAAGTGGAAGGGGGCACGATGAGCTGAGGAGTGCCCCTCCTGCCCCTGTCACCCGCTGCCTAGCCCCCAGACATGCCTGTTTCCTGAGACGCCCCTTTCAATCCCCCCTATCTTTGTCTGTCCTTCAGGACTGCCCAGGGACTGCCAGGAGCTGTTTGAAGATGGAGAGAGGGAAAGTGGATTGTTCCAGATCCAGCCCCAGGGATCCCCGCCTTTCTTGGTTAACTGCAAGATGACCTCAGGTAGGGCTGGGCTGGCCCCCAGGTACCCCAAATATCACGGGCCTGGTTGTCTTTCCATCAAGTGCAGCCACTTCTTATTCCCCACTTCCTCCTTCTCTGCTGGGTCCTGGGACAAAGATCTAGGCAGAACCCCTAGCTTACTGGCCAGCTCACTTTCTTTCTTTGCCGGTCTTCCTCCCATCCTGCTGGGGTGGGTGAGAGGAACCACTCTCCCTGGGTTTAGAGGTGCTTTGGGGTTTAGGGAGCCAAATAGGGGAGGCAGGATCCCTCGTAAGAAGAATCCTCCTGATGACCTCGCACTTTTCTGGGCAGACGGAGGCTGGACAGTAATTCAGAGGCGTCAGGATGGTTCCGTGGACTTTAACCAGCCCTGGGAAGCCTACAAAGATGGCTTTGGAGACCCCCACGGTAGGTGTTTCCTGCAGGCCGGAGGCACAGTGGGGAGGAGGGGGCTACAGATCTGGGGGTCGTCTTCATGGATTGGCCTCTCCCTTGGCAGGTGAGTTCTGGCTGGGCCTGGAGAAGGTACATCGCATCCTCGGGGACCGTGGCAGCCGCTTGGCTGTGCAGCTGCAGGACTGGGAGGGCAACGCTGAGTCCTTGCAGTTCCCCGTCCACCTTGGCGGTGAAGACACCGCCTACAGCCTGAAGCTCACACCACCGGTGGCCAGCAAACTGGGCGCCACCACCTTCTCGCCCAGTGGCCTCTCCCTGCCCTTCTCCACTTGGGACCAGGACCACGACCTCCGCAGAGACAAGAACTGCGCCAGGAGCCTCTCTGGTAAGCAAGCCCTGTCCCTCCCCATCTTGCCCTTCGCCACACAGCTTTTCTGCATCCCTGCCCTGTCTTCAACCCCATCTATTTCCACGCCACTGTTTTTTTGGCTGCGCCGGGTCTTAGTTGAGGCATGTAGGATCCAGTTCCCTGACCAGAAATCAAACCCGTGCCCCCTGCATTGGGAGCGTAGAATCTTAACCACTGGACCACCAGGGAAGTCCTTATTTCCATGCCCCCCTTCTCCTTACTTGCTGTGGACTCTTAGGCAACTGACGATGCCCCCCACCTACATTTTCCCCATCTTTAAAATGGGTATAGGGACTTCCCTGGTGGTCCAGTGGTTGGGGAATCTGAGCTTCCACTGTAGGGGACATGGGTTCAATCCTTGGTCAAGGAACCAGGATCCTTCATGGTGAGGCCAGAAGAAAAGAAGGGGTATAACCATCCTGCCCACACCACAGGACTGCTACAGGATAATACAGTGAGATGACTGCCACAGGCTAGCCAAGACAAACTGAAAGCAGAGCCCACGCCCCGTGAAGTGAAACAGATGAAACTGCCTTGTGGTGTCGAAGGATGGTTGTCTGTTGTTCAGTCACCGAGTCGTGTCCGACTCTTTGTAAGCCCGAGGACTGTAGCCCGCCAGTCTCCTCTGTCCATGGGGTTTCCCAGGCAGGAACACTGGAGTGGGTTGCCATTTCCTTCTTGGGAAGAAGGATGGAAAGAGTGATTAATTTCACGTGGTTCAGTGTGATACAAACTAGTGAAACACAGGACAGTCATAGAAAGGCTTTAATAAATGTTCACCACGTGGCAAGTGTGGAGAAGTAACTCACCAGGGTCAGGGATATAAAAGCTGCATTTACCACAATGGGGAGGGGAGGTGCCCTGAGCCCCCAAGGTGGCTTTGTCACAAGCTGGGGTTCCTCAGAACACAGTCTGACAACTACTGCCAAAGTTCTCTTGTCTAAAGCGGGTGATGGCCAACACCCAGCCCCCTGCCCGCCTTGGCCCCACTGGAGACCCATGGGCTTGACCGTGTCCCCTTTTCTCTGACCCCGGCAGGCGGCTGGTGGTTCGGCACCTGCAGTCACTCCAACCTGAACGGCCAGTATTTCCACTCCATCCCAAGGCAGCGGCAGCAGCGTAAGAAGGGCATCTTCTGGAAGACCTGGCGGGGCCGCTACTACCCACTGCAGGCCACCACCATCCTGGTACAGCCCACAGCGGCCCAAGCGGCCTCCTAGCCTCCTCTCTGGGGCCTGGTCTCAGGTCCCCGGAGGACAGTGACTCTGGTCCATGTGTGGCCACTCCCTGCCTGGGCAGGGGCTCTGGGCATGGGCTGTCTGGAGCCTAGAGGACAGAGAAGATGCCCATGACTGAAGAGATCCCCTTGATGAGTAGGGGAGGCTGCAGGAAATGCCCTCTGAGGAGAACAGGGCTGTAGGGCTGCCGGGCACAGACCCCGGAAGCGTGGGACGGAGGGGCATTGAAGCCCGCTCTTCACCCGCCCACGGAGCGGGGGATGCAGAGGGGACCACTCGGGGGTGGGGCAGCCAGGCCAGCCCTCGATGGGGGGCGGATTCAGTCACATTGACTGGTTGGAGGACCAGGGCTTCCCGTAGGCCTGGGCGCCCTCACCATATTGTGGTGCCTGGGTGCTGTGAGTCAGCTGGCGCCAACGGCGTCTGGGTGGAGCCCACAGACTTCTCGGAATAAAAGCAAGTTCAAAACATTTTTTTCTTTTATGTCCTTTGGTTTGTTTGTCAAAGTGGACAGTTTTCAGAGCCCACATAAACAGGCTCGCAGGGTGGAGGGTGAACACTCTAGGGCTCTTGAGGACAATGCTAGTTACCCCACCATCTCCAACATCTGCTTTCAACTTCCTTCACTTATGGTTTCATGATGGACATCTCATGTTCATTTGCAGAGGTACAAGGCAAAACCCTCATTTGGTCCTTCTGGAAGCAGGTAATAGAGAAAGTTAGATGCTCTTCCTGACCATACTTATGCACATGAATCTTGATAACCTTTTAATGTCTGGCCACATGAGAGAAATAGGGATGTGAGCTGCATATTTAATGTTATTATTATTATTTTTTTTTAGTGGTCACATTTTTAAAAAAGCAAAACAAAGAAAAAGGAAATAAAAACAGCTAAAGTTTAAAAAGAAACAAAGTAGGGACTCCCCTGGTGGTCCAGGGCTTAAGACTCTGAGCTTCCACCACAGGGGGTACAGGTTTGATCCATGGTCTGGAAATAAAAAGCATGGGCAAAAAATATATATATACATATATAAGAAAGAAAGTAAAAAAAAAAAATTATTTAGGAATGTACTTGATTGAACCCAATATATCCAAAATATTGCAGTTTAAACATGTGGTCAATATAAAAGTTACTGAGATACTTGACATGGCTTCTTGTACTGAGTCTTCTGAATCCAGTATAGATTTCACATTTATGGCACATTTCCATTTGGACCGACCATATCTAAGGGTTCAGCAGCCACAGTGGCCAATGGCCACCATCTTGCACAACCCAGCTCTACTGTGTTACTTTTTTTTTTTTTTTGCCTTGCCTTGCAACTTGCAGGATCTTAGTTCTCCTACCAGGGATTGAACCCCACAACCTCGGCAGTGAGAGCTCAGAGTTCTAACCACTGAACTGCCAGGGAATTCCCTCTATTCTGTTACATTAACGCAGAGTTTTGTGTAAACTCTTCCCACTTTTGGCTATGTTTGCAAAAGTTTTCCTTTAAATTAGCTTTAAAATATATACATATAGGGGGGTGAGGAGGGGTGAATAAAAAGAAAATACATATGTGTGTGTGTATGTAGTATATGTGTGTGTATATATAAATATAGGCTTCACAGGTGGCACTAGGGGTAAAGAACATGCCTGCCAGTGCAAGAGACGTAAGAGACACAGGTTCTTCGATCCCTGGGTCGGGAAGATCCCCTGGAGGAGAGCATGGCAACCCACTCCAGTATTCTTGCCTGGAGAATCTCCAGGGAGAGAGAAGCCTGGCGGGCTACAGTCCATGCAGTCACAAAAGAGGCAGACATAACTAAATTGACAGCGTGTGTGCGCACACCCACTCATATAAATTCAACTAATATTTCTTAAGCACCTACTAAAGGCCAAGCCCTGTCCCAAGTGCTTGGGACACTCTAGTCAATACAAAGATTCCCATCTGGGGACTTCCCTGGCGGTCCGGTGGCTAAGACTCCACCCTCCCAATGCAGGGGACACAGGTTCCACCCTGGTCAGAGAGCCAGACGTCACATGCCACAACAAAAGACCCTATATGCCACAGCAAAAGATCAGAGATCCCCCATTGCCGCAACTAAGACCTGGCTTGGCCAAATGAATAAAATTAATTTTTAAAATAAATAAATACATTTTAAAAAGATTTGTCTCAGCACCATGCGTGTATTCCCATTACAGATAAGGGTCTAAACGAAGACACTGTTATAATTGATGGTCCAAGAGACACTGTTGAGAGTGAAAGGGGGGTGTGTTGTTAATAATTAAGCCAGACGACACACTCCCAGGCATACGGGGAATTATTGACCCAGTTTTGTAAAAAAGTAGAGGCATATCTCTACAGCATGTGGAAACCCATATCACTTGCATAAATAGGTTAGGAAACACACAAATAGGTTAGGAAAACTAAAGTCAGTGAAAAAACAATGCCGATTCCAGTTAGAGGGAGTTCCCTGACAGTGCAGCAGTTAGGACTCTGCTTTCACTCCCAAGGGTTCGGATTAAATTTCTGGTTTCAGGGAACTAAGATCCTGCAAGCTTCATGGATCGTTCAAAATTAAATAAATAGACTCTGAGCTCTCAGTGTTCTGGGCTCAGGTTCAACCCCTGGTCAGGGAACTAGATTGCACACGCCACAACTAAAGATGCCACAAAGGAGACTGAAGATCACTTCTGCCGCAACTAAGACCTGGCAAGACCTGGCACAACCGAATAAATAAAAATAGATATTTTCAAATTTCTGAAAAATGTCTATATAATTGAATATATATATTATATATATATATATATATATATATATGAATCACTCTACTATACACCCGAAATTAACACAACACTGTAAATCAACTATACTTCAATAAAGAATTAACTTAAAAAAAGAACTGAAAAAAAAAGGTACAACTTTCTCAGTATGTGTGTGCATGTGTTAAGCTGCTTCAGTTCCTGTCTGACTCTCTGTGACCCCATGGACTGTAGCCCACTAGGCTCTTCTGTCCATGGGATTCATTCACCACACAAGAGACTGGAGTGGGTTGCCATTTCGTCCTCCAGGGTATCTTTCTGACCCACGAACCAAACCTGGGGATCAAGCCTATGTCTCTTGCATCTCCTGCGTGGGCATGCGGGTTCTTTACCATTAGTGCCACCTGGGAAGCCCCATATACACACTGCTGCTGCTGCATCTGCTGCTAAGTCGCTTCAGCCGTGTCCGACTCTGCGAGACCCCATAGACAGCAGCCCACCAGGCTCCTCCGTCCCTGGGATTCGCCAGGCAAGAACAGAGGAGTGGGTTGCCATTTCCTTCTTCAATGCGTGAAAGTAAAAAGTGAAAGTGAAGTTGTTCAGTTGTGTCCGACTCTTCTGGACCTCATGGACTGTAGACTACCAGGCTCCTCCGTCCATGGGATTCTCCAGGCAAGAGCACTGGAGTGGGTTGCCATTTCCTGCTCCAATATACACACTACTAAACATAAAATAGGTAACCAACAAGGGCCTATTGTACACTACAGGGAACTATATTCAATATTTTGCAATAGCCTATAATGGAAAATAATCTGAGATATATAGATTTATATGAATATATATTCATATATATTTATGTGAATCACTTTGCTATATACCTGAAAGTAACGGAACACTGTAAATCAAATGAAAGTGAAAGTGTTAGTCAGTTCAATCGTGTCTGACTCTGCAACACCATGGACTGTAGCCCATCGGTCTCCTCCATCCACAGGGATTTCCCAGGCAAGAATACTGGAGTGGATTGCCATTTCCTTCTCCAGGGGATCTTCTCGACCCAGGGATCAAACCTGGGTCTCTGGCATTGCAGGCGGATTCTTTACCATCTGAGCCACCAGGAAATCCCACTGTAAATCAACTATAATTCAATTTGAAAAGAAAGAAAGAAAGAAAGACTCTGTCTGACTCCTATGCATAGAACAGACTGAGTGAGGTGAGCACAGAGCAGGGAATTTGGGGAGCAGGAAACTACACAGGTCCAGGGAGTGATGACAGGGCCCGGATGGGGCCCTGATGGGGCAGCAGCAGAGGAGAGGGTGACAAGTGGTCAGACATTTAGGAGGGAGGAGGGACAGAGTAAGGCAATTGAGGGAGGGGATGGGAGAGAGGGGCAGGGGAATAAAGGATGAGAAAAAGAGAGGAGTCCACAACCTCTGGCTTTGATGATGGGAGTGGGGGGATGGAGTCACAGGAGGAGGAGAGAGTATGAGAAAAGAGGTCAAATTTGTGTTTGGGATGCCTGGTGAACACCCCAAGGGTGAGGTCCAGGAGGCAATTATAATGATTACTATAATTAGCACATGAGCTCTATGTTTACACTGGTGCCTGCATGCTCAGTATGTCTGACTCGTTGCAACCCCATGGACTGTAGCCTGCCCACCAGGCTCCTCTGTCTATAAAATTTTCCAGGCAAGAATACTGGATTGGGTTGCCATTTCCTCCTCCAGGGATCTTCCTGACCCAGGGATCAAACCTGAGTCTCCTGCGTCTCCTGCATTGTAGGCAAATTCTTTACCACTGTGCCACCTGGGAAGCTCCTATACTTACACTATCATTAATCAACCATTTATTGTGCACGAGCTGTGACAAAGAAGTGATGGCCACAGACACAGTCTCTGCCCTCACAGGGTTGATGCTCTGTTGGAGGGAGGCAGAAACTAAATATGTTCATAGATCTGTGAAAATTAAAAACAGGAAACCTCAACTAAAATTGGCATCAGAGGGACTTCCCTGGTGGTCCAGTGGTTAAGACCCCACACTCCCAATGCAGGAGGCCCAGGTTCTATCCCTGGTCAGGAAACTAGATTCCACATGATGCAACTAAGAGCCTCCATGACTCAACTAAAAGATCCTGCATGCGGCAACTGAGACCCAGTGCAGACAAATTAAAAAAAAAAAAAAAAATGGAGTTAAAAAGGCTTGCAGAGGGAGCTCTTATGACCTGTCACTCTTCAATTACCCCAAACAGGAAGACACCAGTTACAGACACGAACCAGAAGAGACGCACCTTATGCTCCCAAACAGAAACTGCTACTACTTTACTAAAGTGGGAGAAAAGAAGACTTTCTTCCTGCCCATCCAATGGAAACACAACTCAGCCAATCAAAAGCTGGCCTTACCTGAAGGCTTTCATTATTCTGTTGTGCATGACTTCTTTGTTCCACCCTCTTTTCTATAAAAGTCTTCCATTTTATACAATCCTAAAGGAAATCAACCCTCAATATTCATTGGAAGGACTGATGCTGAAGCTGAATCTCCAATACTTTGGCCACCTGATTCGAAGAGTCAGCTCATTGAAAAAGACACTGATGTGGGGAAAGATTGAAGGCAAGAGAAGAGGGAAACAGAGGATGCAATGGTTGGATGGCATCACTGACTCAATGGACATGATTTTGAGCAAACTCTGGAAGATGGTGAAGGACAGGGAAGCCTGGGGTGCTGCAGCCCATGGGGTCACAAAAAGTCGGACACAACTGAGTTACTGAACAACAACAGCTGGGAATTATCTCTGCTTGACAGATGAGATGCTGCTTGATTCATGAATCTTTTAATAAGAGCAATAAGATCTTCACATTTACTCAGTTGAATTTTGTTTACTAACAGGATTGAGATGGAAATACATACTTTAATGTCAAGGGAAGATAAATAAATCGTCCTTATGGGGGAGATGATGTGGAATAAAGCAGGATAAAGAGACAGGCAGGGGGAAAATGTCTGACATCCCAGATGTTGTTGTTTAGTCGCTCAGACCCCATGAACTGTAGCCTACCAGGTTTCTCTGTTCATGGGATTCTTCAGGCAAGAATACTAGAGTGGGTTGCCATTTCCTTATCCAGATTCAAACCTGCGTCTCCTGCTTGGCAGAGGGATTCTGACATCCAGTAAGGATTTATAAATATTTGTTAAACAAAGACCCAATGACTGACGGTAGGTGGTAGATTAAGTATCTGTTTAGGTCAATGATCTAGTTATACTCCAAGATTCCCTAAGGTTTCTTCCCTGTTAAACAGAGTGAGGAAACTGAGGCCAATGTACGGATGGAAACTGCAACCCAGAAAGGTGACCTCTAAACAGAAAAGGTCCACACGCAGATGCCCGCCAGGAGCTGTCATTTACTGGGGCATCTAGGGTGGGAGTGGGCGTACCGCAGAGCAGCGCGCATTGACCTATGACGTCATCGGAACGTTAACTAGCGTAACACTACCTGGACGTAGCCCCATTTCCCTTCCCGGACAGGTCCTCTGGTGGCCCGGTACTATCAGAATCAAACCTCTCATTGGCTACTCGTCTCGTCAATCCGTTCCATTCTTCCAGTCTTCCGCCCCGCCTTCCAGAACTCGCTTCTGATAGGCTGGTGAGGCTGTCATTTTGGAAAGGTCCGCATTCCTTCCGCCTTTCTCCAGGAGACCGAGGGCGAAGAAGGTGGATCTCCGGAGGCGCCCACCCCGGAGGCTCTGCTTCCGCCTCTTATTGGCTCTCCTGGGTGCCGGTCTCTATACCACCCACCGCTGATTGGCCATTCGGCCGCCGCTCTGCGCGGCGCCGGCTCCGCCCCCGTCGGGTGTTTGTGGTGGGGCTGCGGAGTCGCCGATCCCGCCGGAAGCGCCAGGACAATGGGGACCCGGGACGACGAGTACGACTACCTATTCAAAGGTGCGGTCGGTGGGGCACAGACGGGCAAGCGGGCGGCGGCAGGCAGGAGCCGAGGCTGCGCTTCAGGCCTCTGGGCCTAGGCCGGAGCCCGAAGCTTGGGGCCCGGCAGGCTAGGCAGCCGGGAAGGCCAGTGCAGGCCGGTCTTGGTCAAGTTCGGGCCAGGGTGCGCGGCCATGCGAGGCCGGCTGCCCAGAGAGGCTTGGGGGCCCGGGATGCGCCGAGGCGGGGCCAGGGCCCAGAGGGGGTGGGGCCCCGGGCAGTGGGAGAGGCCGTTAGGGGCGGGGCCTTCAGGGGGCGGGGCCGCCCCAGCATTTGGCGGGCAGGGCTGGGTGGAAAGCTCCTTTCGTGTGGGGGCGGGGCCGTTAGAGGCGGTGCTAGGACGTGGTGGGCGTGTCCAATGAATGGGCTGGGCGAATGGGGGCGGTGCTCTCACCTAGTGGGAGGGGCCTGTTTTGATTGGTGGCAGTGCCTCTGTAGGTTGTTTGGGAAGGTAGGGGTGAACAATGGAGGTCAAGGTGTGTGTGGGGGGGCCAGTGGACCCTGGATTGGGAAGTGGAGTCGGAAATGCGTTGAGGGGCACCTGGAGTGGGGGTGTCTGTGTGCTAAACCCAGACCTGATGGTTAACTGTTGGAACTCTTAAGAGCGCTATCCAAGTACCTGCACTTTTCTAAGCACTTTACACACGTGAATTCATTGAAGCCCTCGCCACAACCCTGTGAAGTTGGTATTGTATTATCCAGCCTTTTTCTTTACGAACCTGGAAACAGGCACAATTTACGTGCTGGAGCAGGATTTGAACCTAGACCATTTAAGCAGTGTATCTGGGTTTGTCAGATCTGAGTGGGGTTGTCAGACCTCCTCCTCCAACCTACCGAAGGATCTTCCTTGACCAGGAAACAGAGGGCTCTAGGAGCCTCAAGTAAGACGTGGGCAGGTCAGGCAGCCATTGCTGGGCTGGCTTAGGGGTCACTGACTTTCCAGAGCCTTCTGTGCCAACCTAGGCTTTGGCCAGGTCCTGTGCTGCTGAGCTGTGCTCCCCGGCTGACACTGGCCATCCTTGAGAGCTAACTCCAGGCCCACTCCGGGACACCCTTGCCATGCGACTTCCCATGCCAGCCTTTGGCATCTTTGCCTCGTTGGAGGAGCTTGACCATGGCTGGGAGTGTATGTAGTGTGTCCATCACTATGTGTCTGTGGTATCATCCCCGGTTGAGTCTGGGGTTCTGGGGACCTTGGGGATATAGAAAGTGGGATCTCCACATGGTGAATGGTTTCTGGGCAGAGGGAGTGCCTGTGCCACTCTGTCACACAGCATTGTGGGCTCCAGGAGCTGCTTGCAAGCTCAAAGTTTGCCAGCAAGCTCATAGGTTGCCAGCAGGTGAGGCTCTGTGGTCAGCAGGCATCTGGCTCAGGTGCTGACTGAGCCCTGGGGGGGGGGGAGTGTCTCACTTTAGAGGTGGAGAATGGACACTCTGTCAGGGCTTTGAGGGTGGGTGACGGGTGGCCTAGATGCCAGTCCTGCAGCAGATGGTGCCTATGTCTACCCAGCCTACCCCAGGGGGCTGCTCCCCAGGTGCTAACTGGCCCCCACCTGCATGTGTTACTGCTGGGGCAGGCGGCATTCCTCCCAGAGTCTCTTCTTTTTTAAATATTTATTTATTTGGCTGCATCGGGACTTAGTTGCGGCATGTGGGATCTAGTTCCCTGACCAAGGATTGAACCTTGGCCCCCTTGCATTGGGAGCATGGAGTCTTAGCCACTGGACCACCAGGGAAATTCCCTCTCCCAGTGTTTCTGTGGTCCTTCCTCACTTGTTATTTGCAGGGCTGGTTTAGGGGTCACTGACTTTCCAGGGCCTTCTGTGCCAACCTATGCTTTGACCAGGTCCTGTGCTGCTGAGCTGGTCTCCCCGGCTGACATTGGCCACCCTTGAGAGCTAACTCCAGGCCCACTCGGAACACAACCGTTTGCTGTTGTAAATAATCTAGCTCCAAGTGTTTGCACGAGTCATCTTTTGTCCTTTGGTTTATTTCCTTGAAGTCTGTTCCCAGAAGTACAGTTACTGGGTCAGGGGCACTGGAACTGGGCTGTGCGCTTCCCAGGACCCATCTCCTGAGTCCTCTTTCTGGAGATACTTCAGGGACAACTGGCCCCAGGGGGCAGTGCCCGCCTGCCCCACTGCCCTCTCCCCCTGTGCTCCAGCAGGTGCCCTGCTGACCTTGAGCCGGGTCAGAAGTGACAGTCTAACCCACAAGGTCAGTGGTTCCCAGCCTGGTCATCTGCAACCTCACCTTCACACTTAATGCCTTGTCAGAAGATCCCTCTATTTTTTTTTAACTATTCTTTATTTTTGGCTGTGCTAGGTCTTCGTTGCTGTGCGGGCTTTTCTCGTTGCAGCAAGCAGGGGCTACTTTCTATGCAGTGGTGTGGGCTTCTCATTGCCATGGCTTCTCTCGTTGCAGAGCACAGACTCTAGGGTATGCGTGCTTCAGTAGTTTCAGCTCCCAGGCTCAATCATTGTGGCACACAGGCTTGGCTGCCCTGTTTCATGAGGGATCATCCTGGACCAGGGATCGAACCTCTTGTCTCCTGCACTGGCAGGCGATTCTTTACCACTAAGACACCAGGGAAGAGCCCCCCCCCCACCCCAACCAATTAACTTTTAATATTTGCCTTTAAATCCACTCAGTTAAATAGGAAAAGGAAATTCTGACTCTGGGAAATAAGGAAGGAAGACAGCAGGCAGGCGAGCTGTCACCATCGCATCACTGGCCATAAATATGGCGAGTGGACAGAAACATGAACACACTGCGCCCCACAGGCCCTCCTGCAGAGGGTCGGGCCTGGGCAGTAGAGAGCCGTCCAGGACACAGCTGTGCTGGAGGGGTTGACAAGGATCCACTTTCTCACCACACAGCTCCCCGGCCCTGCCACCTGGTTGGGGGAGCCCTTCCCGAGTGGAGGGGTTTGTGATCGTATCCCCCATCCTGTGCTCAGCCTCCCCCAGGCTTCAGTCACCTTTCCCTGGCCCTGCCCTGGGCATGGAGGGGCCACACCGCTCACTCGGGACACTGGCTGCCCTCTGCCCAGCCCTCCCAGCACCAATGTGGTTTTCTGGCAGCCACATCACAGGTTGGCTCCCCTGACCTCCTGGTCAAGGCCAGCAGATCCCCCTGGGGATTTTCCCACGTGCTTCTCCTTTTCCTCTAGGCTCATCCCTCCCACCCCCAGAAGTGAGTTTGTTTATTTGTATCTAATTATAGATCCTCACTTTTATCCTGCTAACATTTTATCCTTTTCAGCCAAGGGCTATTTCCCCAGCCTGCCCGTCAGTCCCCCACGGGTGCCCCGACCTCTCCTCGATGGACCAGGCGGTGAGGTCCACAGTGAGGTCCATCTGTGACCCCTGATCGGCCTGGAGCAGGCGGGGGGTGGGGGCAGCGCCCCTGATGGCCATTCAATGGCCTGAGTGTCAGAAGCTGGACTCTAGATGTGCTGCATTGTCCTGGGCCAGGGCAGGGGACCAAGGGTTTCCAAGAGGTGCCAGCTCTTTGTTTTTGCCAGCGGTGCTTGCCTGCTTGGCCAGCCAAGTGGTGTGCCCCAGGGGCCCATGTCCCGGCCAGTGATGCCACCAACTTCTGGGGAAATGCTGGGGGCCATGTCCTCAAGGGCTCTTTCTTCCCCTGAGACAACAGATGACTTGTATTTTGGACAATGCCATCCTCATTCCACAGCCTGCACACAGGACTGGCCTGGCCACTGCCCCACCAGCCAGTTCTGCACTGGGCACTGCGTGCCAGGGACCTAGGGGGCAGCCTTGCCTTCCCGCCATTTGTCTGGGCTGTGGCTGGTGGCCCTTGTGTGGCTCTGGCCTCCACTGTTCTCACTGCATGACCTTGGTCCAGGGGACTTGGTCACTCTGGGTTAAGCGTCCCCAGCTGTACATGATCATGTGAGCATCTGTCCCTGGGGTGGCCCTGCGAACTCCATAACAAGGCCCTTAGGGCTGGGCCTGGCCTGGGGGCTCCAGAGATTGTTGGCTGGGACAGAGCAGACCCCATGTGGCGAATGGGGCCCCCAGGCTGGACAGATGGACAGGGCTGGGAAGACAGAGAGAGGGTAGGGGGAATACAGGGCCGGACCCAAAGGGACCTTCTTCCTCCTCATTTCCTGTTCTGTTCCTGAGGACATGAGAACTGTGTGCAAACCTTCCTGGCTTTGGGAAGGAGGTCAGGGGTTGGGGGTGTGGACAGTGGCCCCCCTGGCCTGGCGAGGAGCCCTTGGCCCTCAGGCCCATGGTCACTGACCTTCCACCATTCTCTGAAGTCAGCTTGACATTCTTGTGTCCAGTGCCCACGGTGTGAGGAGAGGACACTGGCATTGTCATCAGTGGCTTGGCCACGTGGTAGTTTGAGAGGAGAGGAGGTGCCTGAACCCAGGGGTTTTGAAGGATGAATAGGAGTTCGCCAGCTATGCTAGGGGGTCAGGATACCCCAGATGGTGGGAGAGGAGAAGGCTAAACCCAGACCCCTGAGCTCAGCCCCTTGGGAAGCCTGGGTTCACATCCTGCTGAACCACTCTTCAACTGGATGGCCCCATGCAAATGGCTGCCCCTATCTGTACCTCAGTTTCTCATCTGTAAAATGGGTCATGTGATGTATCTATGAGGTGATGGCACATCAAGAGCTTTCTTAGCACAGAACATTCTTCTTGTTCTTGTTATTCTTGGCTCTGATGTGGCCAGTCCAGAGAGGGTACTGAGACCTGAGAGCTGCCTGGCCTAACCCTCCTTACTTACAGCCCAAGGATGGTGACCTGGGCATTTCCCAGTGGGGGAGAGGTGGGCCTGGGAAGCTCTGCCAGCCCCTTTGGCATTTGTTCATCCAATAGGTATTAATCAGGTGTGTCCTGTACCCCGGCACCACACCAGGTCCTGGGGATACAACAGGAAACCAGATTGTCCAAGATGGCTATCCTCGAGGCAGTGACAAAAAAAATCATTAAGTGAAAGCTGGCGAGTGTGCTGGGGTGGAAGCTATGGAGGAAAGGCAGGGGAGGGGACTGGGGAGTGACGTTCTAAGAGAATGGCAGGGGTTGGCCTCCTTGATCAAGTGCCACCTGAGGGGCCACACAGAGGAAATGAGCAGGAACCAGGTGGGTACCTGGGGAAGAACCTTCCAGGTAAAGCGTGGTATCATGAGGAGGCCCACGTGTCTGGAACAGAGTGAGTGAGGGGGAAAAAGAGGGGCGGTGAGGGCAGGGAGGGGCCGGGGCAGGTCTCGCAGGGCCCTGTGGGCTCCGGACTTTGGAGGTGGGAACCCTGTGAGCGGGTGGAGGCTGGGGGAACCCACTCCGGGTGCTCACCGGCGCCCTCTGGCGGCTTAGAGGAAAACAGCCAGTTCGTCGAAGCTGAGACTAAACATAGGAGCGCCTGTCTGAGGTCGGGGAGCAGCGAAGCGGTAAGCAGCAGCAGGAATCAGGGCACACACACATAAAATTTCTCATCAAGGAAAAACTTTTCGCTGGGGTCTTGAGCGACCATGTCCGCAGCCCCTGGGGTGCCAGAGCCTAAGACCAACGCTTGGGCGTCCCTGTGGTTTCCAACTGGAGCATCTAGAAAGAGACGCTGTTTCTTCTGCACTGCACACACACTGTGAACTCACTGACACGAGTCCCCGGGACTATATTCTGGGTCTGAGCGCAGCCCCTCCTGGCCTTTCCACCCCAGAGCCTGGAGCGGCTGGGCCCCCAGAGGCAGTGCCTTCACAGGCGGGGACAGGAAGCACGATAAAGGGAAGAGTGGAGAGAGACTCGCGCGATTTCTGCCCTGCTCTGCCCTCGCAGCTCAGGCAGGCTCTTGTTCCAGCCTGCCTGCAGGGTGCTCTGGCCCCCCCTCCCCCGCCAGCCTGTCCTAGGGTACGAAACGTTGGCTGAGTTCTGATCCCAGGCATTCCCGTGACCCTCTCCCTGAGGCGCTCCTGTTACTGTCTTCCTGTGGAAAAGGCAGCCCAGAGAGGTTAAGTGACCTGCCGAGGTCACCAGTCCTGAGGCTTTCTCAGGCATGTCCTGACTTCCCGTGTCACCAGGGAAGCTTGGGGTTTGGGACCGTTGAGGTTTGCGACCCCCCAGGCTGCCTTCCGCCCAGTGCCTGGGTCCCCTCTGGGGCAGCCCTGTTCTGAAGGACCCTCTTCATGTCGTACCTTGGGCGAGGGGCCCAGGACAGCACTGACTCTCCTCCGTCTGATTGCCATGGGTCTGCAGCACCCTGGGGGCCGCTGTGCAGGCCCTGTGGGTGGACGTGGGCGGCATGTGGAGTCTTGGCTCTGGGGCACTGCCCACTTCTGGCCCAGGGAGCCTCACTCATGCCCCTCCCCACCCCTCCCCCAGTGGTGCTCATCGGGGACTCGGGCGTGGGGAAGAGCAACCTGCTGTCCCGCTTCACCCGCAACGAGTTCAACCTGGAGAGCAAGAGCACCATCGGCGTGGAATTCGCCACCCGCAGCATCCAGGTGGACGGCAAGACCATCAAGGCGCAGATCTGGGACACCGCTGGCCAGGAGCGCTACCGCGCCATCACCTCGGCGTGAGCAGTGGGGCCAGGGGAGAGGGGGATCGTGAACACAACCCCGAGAGCAGGAGGCGCAGGGTGGAGGGGCAAGATCCCTGGGAGCTGTGGGACCTGCTAGAAGGATGGTGCCCAGTCTTGGCCATGCTGTGACCCCCAGGTGGGCACGCCCCACAGCCCCTCTCACCCCGGGTCCTGTTGAGGTATTGCCGTGTCTCTGGGCACTGGCTGCATGGTGAAGGCTGTCATCGTCGGTCTTGTCCTGGGCCACTCTCCTCTGCCTGCTCCCCAGCCTATCTGCTCAGCCCACCATCAGTGCTCACAGCAGGCCCCACTCCATCCTGGCCTCCTGGTGGCCAGCCAGCCATCATGACCCCCTCAGGCTCCCTCTTCCCTGACCCTTCCAACTCCCATCAGCCACTTGATGCCTCCTGGATTCCTTTCACTGAGGCTGGGTCCCCCTCTTCTGCTCCTTGATCTCTCAGACTGAATGCCTGTCCATCCGTCTCCTTGGTGCCCTAGACAGGACAGGCCACAGCGGACACTAGAGCTTCTTCCCTTCCCCTGTGTGGTGGTCTTCTCCTTTTAGTGGCTGACCCCAGCAGTGTCTTCTGACCCCAGACCCCCAACTCACTCCTCAGGCCTCCCCATTCCTAAGCTGAATCTTGGGGGTGGAGCTGGGGCCTCAGGACATGCACCTCTCTCTCGAGGCCGTGTTGGTCACCCCTCAGGCTAAGGAGCCGCTGCCCACGGAGCCTGGGAAGCCCCCTCAGGCACTGGCTCAGCTCACGCCTGGCCGCGCCCCTCCATCCTCACAGGTACTACCGTGGCGCAGTGGGCGCCCTGCTGGTATATGACATCGCCAAGCACCTCACGTACGAGAACGTGGAGCGCTGGCTGAAGGAGCTGCGGGACCACGCTGACAGCAACATCGTCATCATGCTGGTGGGCAACAAGAGCGACCTGCGCCACCTGCGGGCTGTGCCCACTGACGAGGCCCGCGCCTTCGCAGGTGAGTGCCCGCCAGACCTGAAGGGGTGGCCAGATGGCGGCTGGGGGGTCACTCTGGGTCATCCACTCCGGCCGGGCCTCAAGGGGCCATGTTCCTGAGAGCCGGACTCTGACTGAGGCGTCAGAGAAGCATCTGGAAGGCAGGCAAGGCAGTTGGCCCACACTGGGTGCCTCTTCTGTGCCTGTGGTCACAGAGCCAGCCTCCCCTCCCTGAGAGTAAGTATCCTGTCCTACCCCTTTGGCCCCCGACCTTCATCTGCTGGGCCAGGTGAGTGGGCAGGCAGTCAGGGTCCCCAGGAGAGGGTAGGGGTGCCCCCCACCCCACCCCCACCAGTTGACTCACCTGGGCCATATCCTCTCTTCCAGAAAAGAACAACTTGTCCTTCATTGAGACCTCAGCCCTGGATTCCACCAACGTGGAGGAAGCGTTCAAGAACATCCTCACAGGTGGTCACAGGCCCAGCTGGGGTCCCAGAGGGTGGGCCTGGGCAGGGCCCCAGCCTCCCTGGTCACATGCTCCAGAGCACAGCCCCCAAACCTTCTTTCGTGAAAACCACTGTTCAGTCTGGACATGGGGACAGACAGGGCCTGCTCCACAGCATGAGGCCAGGTCCCACCCGTGTGTCACTCAGAACGCAGGGACCCTCCTGCAGGTGGGCCCTGTAGCTTCACTAGAGAACAGCCTGCAGGGGCAGTTGGGGAGGCATGTGGCCTCAGGGACTCGGAGCTCCCAGGCTTCTGGAAATTTCTCCTTTGGAAAAGAAGGCCTCTGATCTTACAGAACTGAGTGGCCCTGGCTGGGAGGTACATTTGCAGACAGGTGTGGGTCCTTCTGTTCCCGGGTACACAGCTAGCCTTGGGGATTGGGGGAACCTCCGGGAGCCCATTAGGGGGCGCCCAGGGCACAGTGGGAGCCTTTGGGAGGGATTTCAACTCAGCAGCCGGAGGGCTGCCTGGAGGAAGTGACATCCAGAAGAGTGCTGCGGCCTCACCCGGTGCTTCCCTCCCCCACCCTGTAGAGATTTATCGCATCGTGTCCCAGAAGCAGATTGCGGACCGCGCAGCACACGACGAGTCCCCCGGAAACAACGTTGTGGACATCAGCGTGCCGCCCACCACCGACGGACAGAAACCCAACAAGCTGCAGTGCTGCCAGAACCTGTGACCGCCCCGCGCCTGTTCCCAGCGCGCGTGCCCGTCCCGGCCCTCCGCCCCCCTCACTGCCCCGCCCCCATGCCCTCTCCTCGAGCTCCGCACGAAGAACCAAACCAAGGAAAGCTAGGAGCCCCTGGAGCCCCTGGCTGCCGCACCTGCTCTCCTTGGGTTCCAGTGGGCCTCTCATCTCTGCGGGGCGGGGAGGGTGGTAGGAGGAAGGGCGCGGGCCAGAGGCCAGGAGGATGAGCAGCAGGCTCCTCCAGTTTTCCACGGCTGCCTCGGGGGAGCGATCGCTGCCCTCCCTCTCTGGCGGGTTCCCACCCAGAACCCCACTCCCGGCTGATTCAGCCGGACGAGCAAGGCGCCGGGGGCCGGGCAGGCGGACACTCTTGGCTCTCAACCTCCTGCTCGCCCACGCACAGCCGGCACCGCGCACGCCTTCAACCTCTCCCGCGCGTGCGCGACTCAAGCTCCTGCCTGTAGATTTATGCTGGGAGAAGACCCTCTCCCCACCTCCCCCTCCTTTTTGCACGCGGCGCGCTCTCCAGCCTTCACCCCATCCTGTGCCCCCCTCTCTGTCTTGTCTCCCCGTCTGGTCAGGAACCTGTTTGCAAGTGAAGCAATATCTCCGTGTTTTGTATATACAACCGCTCTTGTAGCCTTTGGTTTTTTGTTATTGTAGAGAAACACAGATTCTTTATACACTTTGTAAGATTTACGCCAAACCCTAGCTCTCGATCTCTTATTCTCCCTGTGGCCCCTGCACTGTTGCCCGGATGCCTCGTTTCTCTCGCCCGGTTACTAAAATGTGTAATTCGAACTTCCTGTACAGAAACCTGCCGCTGCGCCTTTGTCTTCTTTTTCTCCGCCAGGCGGCGCTCCTGAGCTGAGATCGCCCTGCAAGGCGCCCACCGCCGTGGCTCAGCCCCCGCCCACGACAGAGCAGAGCCCAGGGTGGTCCTGGGGTGGGTGAGGGTGTGGTTTGGGTGGACCCTCTTCCTGCCGCCCCGAGGCAGGGAGGGAGGGAGGAGGGGCTGGGTGTTGTGCAGTTAGACTCCCCGGCACTAGGACTGCCAGCCCTAAGACCTGAGGGTGTGAAGGGGTGGGCTGTGTCCACTGCTCCGCGTTCTCAGCCCCCAGGTTGGGGTTCATTGCTGACATTCTACCGCCCACCTGGCCTCCTCCTCAGCTGCCACCTTGCTCGATGTCAGCTCCACCCCAGCTCACTCCATCCTAGACCAACCTCTGAGGAGTGACCACGGGGGGGGCCCCCGGGAAAGGGGGGGGGGGGGGGGGCGCTAACAGTTCCTCTGGGTCTCCTCAGGACGCAGCTTCTGCCCTTGGCCGGTGTGGGCAGGACTGGCCTGAGGGGCACTTCTCACTGTGGAGGGGGCAGAGCAGTGCCCCGCCTGCCCTGATCACGAGACTGTGTGTCTGTGTGTATGTCTGTGTCCCCCACCCCATCACCTGAGTGCCGGCAGCTGTTCTAGAAGCTCCAGCCTCTGGCAGAAGCCAGATGTGCCCTTGAGCCCTAGGAGAGCCACCTGAGTGGGGGTGGGGGGGTGGCATGCCCTCCAGGCTCTGGCTGCCCTGCCAGGAGATACGGACAGACCCTGACACATCTCTCCTGGGAGAGCTCAGAGCCCAGAGCCGCAGGGGCGTTCTGACAGGACAGGTGGAGTCAGGGCGTGTGGTCCAGGGGGCCAAGGCCAGTGAGAGAACTGGGGGTCCTGTGGGACTGCACACTCCAGGGCTGAACACACAGCCCCTGGGGGGTGCTGACTCCCCTGGATTTGGACAGGGCAGGGCATGGAGAAGATGGATGGTGTAAAGAGGGCTCAGGAGGGCCAGGTAGTGATGAGGCACCAGAAGGGTGTCAGGTGGTCAGAAGATGAAATCTGGGAATTCCCTGGCAGTACAGTGGTTAAGATTCCTTGCTTCCACTGCAGGGGGGCACAGGTTCGATCCCTAGTCATGGAACTAAGATACTGCCCTCGCACGCAGTGTCCCCACCCCACCCCCCAAAAATCAAGTCTTTCTGGAGCCTCTGTGATTACCCAGGCCTGGGGCACATACCTGAGAACAAGAATATGTGTCCCTGTGCCCTTGGGGGGTCACAGTCCTGCAATGCTGTTTTGATTACTCTTCAGTGATTTAATAAGCACAGTGTTTTGTCTCTGTGCCAGGCACTGTTCTTAAGTTTTTTTTTTTATGGCAAAATACACATAATTACCATAAAATACACATATCATAAAGCATGCCATCCTAAAAAAAAATAACCATCTTAACCATTTAAGTATATGGTTCAGTGACATTAAGTATCATATTGTCCAACCATCACCACCATCCATCTCCAGAACTCTTCACCCTACAAAACTAACTCTGTCTCCACTAAACACTAACTCCTCATTCTCCCTCCTCCAGCCCCTGTCAGCCACCATTCAACTTTCTGTCTCTGTGAAATTAACTCCTCTAGGGACCTCCTATAAGTGGAATTCATATTTGTGAAGGGCTCTTTTCAGTGAGCATCACATCCTTAAGGCTCATCCACATTGTAGCAGGTGTCAGACTCTGCTTCCTGTTTAAAGCTGAATGACATTCCATTGTATGGATATTCCATTTCTTGTGCATCCATTCATCTGTGGATGGGCACTTGGGTTGCTTCCATCTTTTGGCACTTGTGGATCATGCTGCTATGAACACGATGGTACAAATATCTCAGTTCCAGCTTTCATTTCTTTTGAATACATATCCAGAGAAGTTCCCTGGTGGTTCAGATGGTAAAGAATCTGTCCGCAGTGTGGGAGACCTGGGTTGGGAAGATCCCCTGAAGAAGGAAATGGCTACCCACTCCAGTATTCTTGCCTGAAAAATCTCAGGGACAGAGCAGCGGTGGGTACAGTCCATGGGGTTGCAGAGTCAAGCATGACTGAGTGACTCACACATGCAGACACACACACACAGACACACAGACACACAGACACACACACACACACACACACACCCGGAAGTGAAATTGCTGAATCACATGGTAATTCTGTTTAATTTTTTGTGGAATTGTGTTAACCTAAATAAACTGATATGTAAAAGAACATGATACCACACAAAAAATAAGTCTTTTACATGTCATTTATATACTATTTACAGCAGCCCTAGGAGCCCTAAGCATAACTTAATAGCCACGATTTAGAGATGGGGAACAGAAGTGAGTGACACCCCAAGGGTCCCAGGATTAGTAAGAAGTGAGCAGATTTCAACTTTGAAGCTGGGGTTGTAGCCACCAAGCTGTGGGGCTTTACCCAATGTTTAGTGAGTGTCTACCATAAGCCAGAAAGCCCTAATAAGTGGAGAAGATACCCAGATTAAAGGCTGGGAAGAAGCATACCAAAATTAAAAAAAAATTTATGGGAAAATTTAACACGTAAAAGTGGACAGACTAGTTTAATGAATCCCCATCAGCCCATCACCCAACTTCAACCCATCTAATTTCAGCCTAATCTCCTGTTTGCAAATCCCCAACATGCTCTAGCTATCAATATTTCTGTATGTTTATCTAAAATACAGGCTTTTAAATACATCACCTCAATACCATCATCCCACCTAAAGAAATGAGCAGTAATTCCCTAATATCATCAAAGAGCTAGTGTTTACTTTTCCTGATTGTCTTATAATTTGTTGATGATTTATTTGACTCACAGTCCACTGGCTCCAATTGGTTGACACTTCTCTTTGATCTCTTTTAATGTACACATTCTCCCCCTCTGATCCCTCTGTTTTCTTGCCTTTTTTTTTTTTGCCTTTAAAATTTTTATTTTCTATTTTTTTTAATTTTTAAATTTTATGTATTTATTTTGGTCTGCACTGGGTCTTTGTTGCTGTGCACAGATTTTTCTCTAGTTGTAGTGATCAGGGGTTTCTCTTGTTGTGGAGCCCAGGCTCTAAGTTAGTGGGCTTCAGTAGTTGCAGCCCAGAAGTTGTGGCGCATAGGCTTAGTTGCTCCAGGGCACCTGGGATCTTCCCGGACCAGGGATCAAACCTGTATCCTCTGCACTGGACCACCAGGGAAGTTCCTATTTTTAAAATTTTTATTGGAGTACAGTTGGTTTATAATATTTTGTCAGTTTTTGCTGTACAGTAAGGTGAGCCAGTTATTACACACATACAACATATATCCACCCTGTTTTACATTCTTCTCCCATCTAGGTCATTATAGAGCATTCAGTAGAGTTTCCTGCACTATACAGTAGGTTCTTATTACCTGTTTTATGTATAGTACTGTATGTCAATCCAAATCTCCCGATTTATCCCCCCTTTTTTTCTGTTAAATAAATGGGTCATTTGTATTATAGTTTCTTAGTCTGAATTTTGTTTATGGCATCCCTGGAGTGTCTTTCTTTTTGCTTTTTAAAAATTCTAGGCAAAATTCTCATGACATAAAATTCGCCACTTAAGAACTGTTTCAAAAAGTACATTTGGTGGTTTTTAGGATATTCACAATTTGTGCAACCTTCACCACTATTTAATCCAGAAAAGAAACCCAGAACCCATTAAGCAGTTACTCCCTCCTCCTATCTCCATCCCTCAGCCCCGGGCAATCATTAACCTGCTTTCTGTCTCTATGGACACAGGGTGGCATTTGATGTGTCCCATTGTGCCCCAAATTTCCTGTAGATGAATGTTCAGTGGCAAGTGGTGTCTGGCTCTTTGTGACTCCGTGGACTGCAACTTGCCAGGTTTCTCTGTCCTCCACCATTTCCTGCAGTTTGCTCACATTCATGTCCATTGGGTCAATTGTGCTATCTAGCCAGCTCGCCCTCTGTCGCCCCCTTCTCCTCCTGTCTTCAGTCTTTCCCAATATCAGGGTCTTTTCCAATGAGTCGACCCTTCCCGTCAGGTAGCCAAAGTATTAGAGCTTCAGCTTCAGCATCAGTCCTTCCAACGATGTAGATGAATAGTTAGATCTAGAGGGTGATCGGATTTAAGAGTGGACACTTCATAGGTAATATTGTGTACATAACCCAAGGAGGCAGGTAATGTCAGGGCGTTTCTCATTCATGGAGGTAGCAGCTGCTGAGAAGCATCACCTAGATTCATAATCTGTTAAGAGTTACAAACTGATACTATTGTATATTTTCAAATCCTACCCTTTTTCATTTACTCTTTTTTCTTTTCTAAAAATATTTTCTTTTTCATTTTTATTTACTTTTCTTATTGGAGAAAAATTATTCTTATTCTTAATGCTTGACAATGCTGTTTGTAAAGTTTCTTCTGTTCAACAATGTGAATAAGCTATAAGGGGTTACATATATCCTCTTCCTATTCTTCATTTACTTTTGAAATACATATGTAAAGAGAAATTTCCCTTCATCTATGTGGTTACCTGGAGGTACAGATGGTATGTGTGTGTTTGTGCTAAGATGCTTCAGTTGTGTCTGACTCTTTGTGACCTTATGGACAGTAGCCCTCTGTCCATGGAATTCTTCAGCAAGGATACTGGAGTGGGTTACCATTTCCCCCTCCAGGGAATCTTCCCGACCCAGGCATCAAAGGCAGGCAGGCAGGTTCTTTACCACTAGTGCCACTTGGGAAACCCCACAGATGGTATAAGCCAGTGTAAATAATCAATTCTCTATTTGCTTGTCAATTTTCAAGTTTCATAATTTGTAAGATTTTGAGTTCGTTCCCAAATAGCCTTCAAAAGTGACTGGTAGGTTGAGGGGAGGGATAAATTGAAAGGTTGCAATTAACATATACACACTACTAGGCTTCCCTGGTGGCTCAGCTGGTAAGGAATCTGCCTGCAATGCAGGAGACCTGGATTCAATCCCTGGGTTG